TCAGTAGCTGATTATGAAGTTCAAGTTTGATGAAATAATCAAGAGAATTTCACTGAACTCTTTCAAAGTCTGCAAAACAGAGTCTTGAGAAGAATTCTGAGAGCATTCAAACCATCTTCTATTAAAGCAATGAAAATTGAAGCTTCAATTCCTCCTCCTGCTATTAGATTTGAAAAGGCCTGTATGAACTATGCTCTGAGAGTTGTAAAGATGAGCTCAAATCATATAATCAGAGAAAGAGTCTCTTCTTCATTTCCATCAATTAACTCTGGAAAAACTCTTCTTCATTTCCACCAATTAACTCTGGAAATGAACTGGATTGAAATAGATTTCTTGATTGGAATGAAAATAATTCTTCAAAGAAAATGCCTTCTCAACTGTACAGACTATGCTCTCTGATTAAAAATCAATTTTCTTCTTTAAATGTTGAAAAAGTTGATCATGAGAAGTTATCTCTCTGGAGAGAAAAGCTTGAATCTCTTATAGACTTACAAATAAGTGAACTATCAAAAGAGAAAGAATATGAACAGCATTTGAAGAGAATTTCTACAATCAATATAAAAGACTCTATTCTGATTTATTCAGATAACTCAAAAAATGAGAACTTGAATAGATTAGGTGCAGGCATTGCTTATACTGAAGATAATATTAATTTTATCTCAGATTTCTGAAATCTAGACTCTGAATATGAAGTCTTTGATGCTGAACTATTTGTGATAGTGAAAGCTTTCAAACTCATTGAAATAAAATCTCATAAAAGAGAAAATTGTTTGAAAGAGATATGAATATTCTCTGATAGTCAAGCTGCTTTAAAAAGACTTAGAAATAGTCAGATTTATAATAGTCAAATGAATCTTGAACTGATCTTAAACTCTGTTTTGAAAATTCAAAAGAGAAGAATATTAAAGCTGATAATTCATCTGCACTGAGTTTCTACTCATATGAATATTCATGACAATGAATTGGCTGATTCAGCTGTAAAAAAGAGTGCAGAATTAAGCAGATCTATTCAAAAAATTATGTCCTGATCTTTTATAAAGAGAAAAATAAAAGAATCTTGTTTAGACAAGTGAAATGAAAGCTGGCAGAAACAAAAGAAGAGTATACATTATTCAAGATTTGAAACAAAACTCAAGTGAAAATCTTGTTCAATTAAATGTAAAAAGAAAATATTCTCATCTATAATACAGCTGAAACTAGGACATGGCTATTTCAAATCTTATATACAAAGATTTGATGATAGATTTGACTCAATAGAATGCTCATTCTGCAATACAAATGAGAATTCTGAGTATATTGTAATGCACTGTGTATTATACAATAGTCTCAGAGCCAGATTGAAAGAGAAGTATGATCTAAATCAATTAAATATGAGATTCTTATTCTCAACTGAGACAGGAATTAAATACTTAATAGACTTTCTATCAGAAACTCAAGCAGCTATAAGAAAATGGCTAAATTCAGAACTATCTGAATATGAAGAGGAGGAAATCAATCAGATATAGTCTGTTAAAACAGCTATACACTCTCTTTTAATAATTTGTTTTGTTATAGTCTCTCTTTACTTTATCTTTTTCTTTATCTTTTTCTTTCAATTTCTTTCTATCTATCTATTTAATATGTCTATCTTTGAGACTGTGTTCTTTTTCTCTTTTTCTTTGTCATGATATTGTCAAATGATTTCAAAGTATCAAAAGATGTTAAAACACTGCAATTTGTAAACAGTTTTTGTATTCTGAGCTGGAATTTTCTGATTTTGCATATCTGAAATTGATGAATGTATAATAGTTAACTTTACAGACATAGAAAAAACCCTGAGAACTAAAAGTTCTCAGGTAGATGTCATAGTCTCTGACTGCATACATCTATAATTGAAGAATAATAATAATAATAATAATAAAGTTAATGCGGCCACCCAGTAGCGCCTTGGCGTGGGAAACCAAGGTGTGTGAGTTCGAAACCCGCAGGAGATACATTAAATTCAGAACTCAAGCACCTCAGGTTTCTAATAAATACAGAGGTGTACAAATCACTTCAATAAATCACTCTATATTTCTGAGCTGAGAAGTTATTATTATATGTATTTAATTATCACTTCTTTGTATTTTCTATATTCTTATTATCTTGACATAATCTCAACATCTGTATTTCCTTCTGTATAATCAACACTTAATCTGTATTTAACATCATGTAAGAACTCATTATAAGCTCTGCTTGTATATAAGTATAATGAAAGAATAATAATAATAATAATAATAATAATAAACTCATACGTCTTAATTTCTCATGCTAAGGCACTACTGAGTAACTATATTAATCATTCAGTCACTGAGACACTGTAGAATATTTGAAGAAGAATAACATAATTAATTTCAGTAAGTACTAAAGAGAGATAGAAGTAGAAGAGATAATTAAAAATAATATAATAATAATAATAATAATAATAATAATAATAATAATAATAATAATAATAATAATAAAAGAGAGAGTGTATTAAAATATATTACTACTAACTTATCAAATATAAAGAGACTTAAAGAAAATATTAATAGCTTTCAGAGATGTACAGAAACATCTATAATATTATATAATAATATCATCTTTATTCAATACATACACTGTTAATATTCTTTGTATACAGTTATTATATAATCTGTATTAGAGATATATATAGAAAACAGATCTTTATTACTAAAGTAAATAATTGTAGCAATTCTCTATTTTTATATTATAAAGATAAGTTATTTTTATTTTTTTTTCTCTCTTTTCTTCTCTTCAATCAATCACTAATTTCAAGCTGATATGAAAACTATTAAAACACTCTCAGAAACTCCTAAATTGAAGAGTATAGACTAATTAAATTTTAAATACAGAAGAAATTAAATTATCTTCTATAGATTTAATTATTCATTTCTCTTTTAAATAAAATAGTAGTTGCATTCTCTCTTCTTCTTAATTAAATAAAACATAGTCTGTGAAAAGTGAGTATTATATTAGATTATAATAATCAATACAGTCTTAGCATGCAGAGCTGTATATATATAGTATATACTGAACTGAGAGACTGTATAAGTTACAAATCAGCAGCAGCATTTCAGAAAAAGTTATACAGTGTGAGAAAGCTACAACTCTCAGTTATATACACAGATTATTATTATTATTATTATTATTCTTTCATTATACTTATATGCAAGTAAACCTTATAATGAGTTCTTGCATAATGTTAAATACAGATCAAGTATTGATTATACAGAAGAAAATACAGGTATTGAAATCATATCAAGATAACAAGAATATAGAAAATACAAAGAAGTAATAATTAAATACATGCAATAATAACTTTTCAGCTCAGAAACATAGAGTAATTTATTAAAGTAATTTATACATCTCTGTATTTATTAAGAATCTGAGATGCTTGAGTTCTAGATTTAATGTATTCTCTGCGGGTTTTGAACTCACATGCCTTGATTTCTCATATCAAGATGCTATCAGATGACTGCATTAATTATTCAGTCATCAGAGCTATATACACAGAGAGTGAATCACTGTTAGACTGATTATATAACTGTGTCTGAGATTAGAACTAGATTTTTTAATAGTCTTATTATTAATTTAACTAATCTCATTACATAGTTTTAATATTAAATAGTAGTTTTATACTATTTCAGTAAGACTTACTATCTACTCTTATTACATTTTTCAAATAAGATCATGATTTTCACTTCTTAATTTAAATTATTTTTATTACTTTAAATAACTTTAAATCTCATTTGAGTATTATCAAAAAGTGTTACTTTTTAAAAAATTAAAAATAGTCTAAAAAAAACCTTAAAATGTCTAAAAATAGTAACTTTATATCAAGAATAAGATTAAATGAGATTAAATAAGATCACTTTCTTATTTTTTTCAAGTCATGATTTCATTTTAAGATCTGATATATAGTTACTTTACATGTTTTTTTAATAGCTAGTTTCAGCAGAATTCATATTAAGAAATGTATAAGATCAGATTAAATGAGATTAAATATGAAATTTATAATCTCAGTAGTCAGTCTAATCACTGTAGTAAGTATATATATATTAAAGTAATACTTTTTAATAATACTTAGTTTTTAATATAATGAAAATAGAGTCTTTCTGTGAGATCTGTTTTTATCAAAAGTCAGAGAATTTTATATTTCTCAAGATTATTTTCACATATCTTATTCATGAAATTGATGAGAAAAATCATTGATTTCAGTATTCTATTCTTGATATTATTCAAGTGATAGCAGAGTTCACTCTGATCACACTTTTTAAGTGTATATTTTCTAATTATTCACATTTGTATAGATATATACTAATTATTTATTAAATAATATTAAGATAATAACTTATTATAATTATATTATTCTTATTATAAGAGATATACAGTTAGTAATAAATATTATAAAAACTTTAAGTAGTAAGTATTTTAAGAGTACTATAACTCTATAATCTTAATTTTTTTTATTTTTATTTTTTATTTTTTTTATTTTTCTTTTTCTTTTCTTTTTTTTTCTTTCTCTTTCTTTCTTTCTCTTTTTTTCTTTCTCTTTTTTTTCTTCTTTTTTTCTTATTATTGTTTTATTTTTTTTTTTATTTTTTTTTATATTTTATATTTTTTTTAAATTAAATAATATGAATTATAATCTGTATTTAGAAAAGTAATGATATTTAATAACACTCTTTGTTAAATTTTCAATAAATGAGTACTATGTTATAATATTATATAAGTGAGAAATAATTTCATAATCTTATTTAATATTATTTTTAATAATAAGATCAGAATAAAAATATAACTAAGAATTTAAATATATTCTTTATCTAAGACTAGATTTTTATTTAAAAAGTGAATCTGAAATCTTTAATATTTAAAATAATGTGATTTAAGATTAATGTAATAAATATAAATCATGATCAGAAGTAATACTTTTAAATAATATAATAACTATAAAGTTTAATTCTGATCTTAGACACGGTCACACAGTCAGTCTAATACTGATAAAATAAGACAATTTTAACACCTAATAAATATATTAAATAAAGCAGTTAAAATAATAATTATATTGATAAGAAATTCTGAATTAGCAGCATTTATGTGTAAAACAGATCTTATAACCTATAAAAGATGTAATTATGTAAAGCTTACTTGATTGAAAAGATTGCTAGCTTGTGAGAAGTTATATAGTGAAAGGATTAATAAGCCAGGACATGTAACCTGACATCTCACATCATTTGTCACAGAATTTCATTACCACATTAGAACTGTATATTATTTTCGATTTTTCTTTAAATAGTTTCGCAAAAGGGATTCTCATTTCATTTTCAATGAGCATACACATCTGTTTTCAGACTTTCCATTGCCCCCACTTTATTTCTTGCGTATTTATTCATTACAACATGTATATTTTGTTTCGCTCCAGAACTTTTAGAAGTCGGCATCATCCTCGTCGGGAAGAGGCATCTGGGCAGCTTGTCTCATCTCCTCCTCGGCGGCGGCGATCGCAGCCGGATCAACTGTTGCCTCAGGTGGTGCGAGTGCAATGTCGGCAACGAATTCCTGTTGAGTTTGAGGGGATTAGAACGACGTATATATCTCACTAGGGCTATAATTTGGGTGGGTTCTAGAGGACTTACCAGGCCAGGGTTGCCAACGAGCTTTCTGGCGAGCCACAGGAAGGGCTTCTCGAAGTTGTAGTTGGACTTGGCGGAAATATCGTAGTACTGGAGATTCTTCTTGCGGTGGAAAGTGATGGTCTTGGCCTTCACTTTTCGCTCTTTAACGTCGACCTTGTTACCGCAGAGGACGATGGGGACATTTTCGCAGACGCGAACGAGGTCACCTGGATAAAAAATGAGTTTTCCAAACCAGAAGATAAAGATGTTTCATCACTATGGACGTGCTACAAAACAAAGAAGTAAAATACAATAAAAAGGGAATATCTGGGGAATACTTACGATGCCAAGATGGGACGTTCTTGTAGGTAATGCGGGAGGTGACATCGAACATGATGATGCCACATTGGCCGTTGATATAGTAACCATCTCTCAGACCACCAAACTTTTCTTGTCCGGCAGTATCCCACACATCGAACTGGATGGCGCCCAGATTCTAGATACCCCTCTCATTCTTCTTGTTAGATAGTTGCGATAACCGAAAATAGATTTGACAGGCGAAGGAAGTGAAGGCTGGAGAGATCGATGGGGGAGCGTGGCGCACCGTCTGAAAGTTGAGAGGGTGGACTTCAACACCCAAAGTAGCAATGTATTTCTTCTCAAATTCACCAGTCAGATGGCGTTTTACGAAGGTAGTCTATTTTCAACGGAGGAGAAAAGCGGTAGGTTAGCAAAGATATTCCTGTAATATATTGTTCATTTTTCTTGGGTCGATGATTTGGGCGTTGTTTCGTCGTCCTGGAGTGGGACATGTTGCTACGGAGGGGTAGCGAGGGGCTAGTTTCGCCTTTGCGAAGGAGCGAAAGAGGCCTCCGTTTCCAACTCCCCAACGCGTAGATGACAAGGGACGTGGGAGGTGAAAGGGTGCTTTTCTTGATATCCTTACCTTGCCGGTACCGCCGTCACCGACGAGGACGAGCTTGAAGGTGGGTGGAGCTTGCTGCGCGGCCATTTTTTGTTGATGAGAAATATAGGAGGGGTTTTTTTCTAGGAGGGGAAAACCAAAGGGAAAACAACAGAACAGAAAAGAAAAGAAAAGCGTCAGTCGCCCTTCTGCTAGTGGAGAAACAGAACAGGCAGGCCAGATGAGAGGGAGTGTGTCTGTCAGTCAAGGGGCGTATGCGTGGTGATGATATAGGATGATGATGATGATGCTGGGGGGGAGAGGTCGAGGAGAAGGCGATGATGGATGGGGCTTGTTGTTGTCTAGCGGGCGAGGGAAAATAAAATAAAATAAAATAAAATAAAAAAGAAAAGAAAAAAGAAAAAATTGGCTGCGAGAAACGAGAAACACGGAAACAAACAGGCTGCAAAGGGAAGGCGGTGAACTGCGCGCCAGGCAGAAGGTCACGTGGTTGATTCGCAAATCTCCATTTGCTTTGAATTTCTTAATTTCTTTATAACAATTATTCATAACTAAGGGTAATTATTATTAGAAACTTACTGCTTGACCTTTTTTCTTTGTTGTCAACCTATTTAAATCATGGCCTTGGGTTTGTTTTCACTATCTCTGTTTGTATGTTTTGTAGCCCTTGTCTGGAAGGTTAACTATGTATACTGTAGTGCCTCCTTTCAAACTGTGAATTCTGCTTTCTTGTTGCTTGACATAAGGGGAATAAAAGGGGGAAATAGAGGAAAACATTGATTAGAATAGAATTCGAGGAGGAAGAAGTAGTAGTAGCAGCTATGAAAACTAAATTAAACAAAAGAAGAAAATGAAACAAAGAAAGAGAAACCAAAATCAGGCAAGCTCGTTTAAATTCATACAGCGCATTAAAATCATATCGAGTGGTCCTTGGGAAAATAGCCTGTACTCCAAATAAAAAAAAAAAAAAAAAAAAAAAAAAAAAAAAAAAGCCCGGTGAAGTCCAGTGAACTCTCAGCTCTGCACCAGACCAAAGGAAGAGATAATAACAGAAGCAAAAAAAATGGAATGTTAAAAAGAAAAAAGAAAAAGGAGAGCTCTGGTAATTGCAGAATGTACCTGCCAATTTCCGCCTTCTCATACTAACACAATATGGCACCCCAGCAAGCCTAGACCCCCCCAGTTCCGGCGGGGGGTAAGCTGCACAGTGAGGTCTTTCATCTCACCAGATTCATCTTTCCGAACGAGCTTAACCAGGATGGTTTTCTAAATAAAACGAAAGGTATGTTAGCGCAGGGAAGAGCAAAAAAAAAAAAAAAGAAAAGAAAAAGAAAAAGAAAAAGGCTTAAACAAGTGTCAAAATCCTCTCCGTGTGGGGGTATATAGTTTAACAACTAAATGAAAGAAAGAAAGTAAAATAAAATAAAATAAACAACATACCCCTTCATTCCGCCGCACAACCTCCGCCACTTTCGTGAGGTTCTCATGATTCATCCAATTAACGTGTCCAACGCTGCGGACTCTGTCTCCCACTTTAATCCCCGCCTGCGCTGCAGGGCTCCCGTCGGCTACGTTATTAATCTTTGCAAATGGTGTCTCTATAATCCCCGCTTGTGCGCTGCTGGTGGCTGAATCTTCGACGGAGGTTGTAGAGGTCGACGTTGATGGGGTAGAGGTTGTGGTTGTTGGAGGGCAGTTTGCGTTCTGTTGATCACGGAGCCGGGCGAAGCCTTCGTGGACGCCCTGTTCGACCCTCGCCATGACATCCTTGTAGTCATTCCGTAGGTGGATTATTCGCGCTCGTGTCGTGCGGACTGTGGGCGAGGATTTAGTTTAGCATTTGTTCTAATTCACTGTTATATTTGTTTGTTTCGTTCCCCCTGTCATCTTCCGTTGTCCATCGATGGTGGAGAGGAGACGTACTCTGCGCAATATCCAAATCGTCCCGGGGGTATCCATCGAAAGTAGTCAGGCTCGTTAACATAGTAACTCCATGCTACATCAACCGCATATAACGATTAGTTCTAGCGACTCCTACTTCACTGTCCAGTGGTCAAGCCCATTCTGTGGAGGGGCATATTTGATTTTCAGAACGACAAATGCTTCTACCAGAAGAAAGGGGAAAAGCCAAGAAGAAAAAGAAAAACAAAAGGAGATAACATACAGAATCAAGCACACTGCTAAGTTCCCGAAACTCCGCTTCCAGGCGTTCCTTTTCATCAAAAAGCTCGTCTAGAGACAAGCTCGACAGCTCGCGACCATTTCGCGTTGGCGCGGAGGTGGGGCCCGAGGCCAACGTGGGTGCATGAATGTCGTCGTCCATTGGAATGCCCATTTCGAGGGGTGGATTTTCAGGCTCTATCCGTCAAGACCTCATGGCTATGATTCTGGGACGAAAATTCGTAGAGCGGGAGGAAAAGAAGAAGAGTTGGCTTTGTTGCGGGGGTGTGTTTCGGGAGCAGACTCTCATTATTGGATTGGAATGCGGGCAACAAGCCAGATATTTATGTGATTATGTAAGTCTGATGGATTGCCAAGAGCCGGGTCTTCGCGGTATCTACAACTGAATCTTCGGGGAAGAAAAGGGGAGACGGGGAGACTTTGGAGGCGGGCAACGCATATACACACATATATTGCGTTGTCTCCTTTCGTCTGCTCTATAAAGTGAGTGGTTCTGGTGACATCCAAGAGCGTGTGTGCCTGTCTGTCCCCTCATACATAACCTGCCTGGTGTGGAAGAACAGAAATGCCAGTCCACATCTCTACAGCGTATGCGTACATACACATACCTATAAGGTATACCTATAGGTAATGTCTACTACGAGCATACCCCTCACTTGCAAAGTACGCTGCATACGTATGCTTTGGCTGTTTCTTAAATCTAGTTCTCAGTTTGCAAGAATGACCCGAAAACCCTTCCAGCTGTGGCTTCCTCCATTCGTGCTGTTTACTGCCGTCATACGTTGGCAGTTTCGCCTATATATACTTTTTTTTTGTCGCGTCAGCCTCGTGTATCTGATAGACTACGTCTTCTTATCATTCACTCCTTGCAACAATCCATCCAGTTGCTCCCACATTTCTCTTTCTTTCCCCCAAGCTATTCGCTTGGGTTCCATGTCTAAATAGCTAGACCTTGCCCATGGAATCTATTGGAGAGAGCATGGAGGAAGATTCTAAGAGAAAGTCTTTTGGAGATCAATCCTCCATATCAGAGCCTACTGCAGTCCCTGTGATGCCAGCTGCCAATCGGGACTCCCACAGCTTCAAACGATGGATAAGGAGCATGCGGAAGAAAAGAACGCCAAACTATGACGGCCCACCACGCTATGTTGTGGGGTGGCCTGACGATGAGAGTGAAGACGAGAGTTACAGGATGTTCCCCTCACTCTACCAAAGCCAGCCAGACCAGTCGTCTACTGCGTCCTCGTCCAATTTGATGACTGTCAAAACGGCCAGCCTTGGAAGCTTAAGCTTGCTGACCCGCCCGCGAACAAATACGCAGACAAGTACCCAGCGAAGTGCGTGCCACAGCAGCGCCTTTTCTGGGTCAGATGCAAGGGTATCTATGGAGAGCAACAAACTGACATCAACGCTGTCTCTGGATGAAGGTGCATGGAACCGTGCTGTCCAAAGACGACAGGTAATAAGGGAGATATTGGAGACAGAGATCACATATCTTGCGGCGCTAAAGGCGCTTGCAGAGGTATGTTGACTATGCTAAGCCGCCTCGAATATACTTGAGTTGGAATACTAATGATTTCAAAAAGGTTCTGACCACGCTAGGAATAACTGAGACTGCACTGCAGCGGAGCACACTCGATCTTATCGGTTTACACGAAGATCTCCTAATCAAGTTGGAGGACGCGATGCCTCGGTCAGATAGGGTCGTCACCCCAATATGGACGACTGCGCGCCGGCATATTAAGTTTGGCAACGTGGACGCTAGCCTGACGAAAGCAAGCCGGAAGTCAGTGACCACAAGAAAGCTGCGTGAACCTGTCGATTCCCGGATTAAGTCGTCCAAATCGGTGGCAGCAGAACCAAACGAGGCTGCTATGGTGGCTAGGATAATGCAATCAATGGTAAAACCTATGACTGCTTACGCCTTTTTGCCTGTTTATCATTTTTTTTTATCATAGGCTAACACATCCCATCCTGCTATAGCTTCCACAGTTTAAAGTTTATGAAGACTATGGCGTCAAATACCAACTTGTATTCAAGGAGATAGACCTGTTACGCAAGTCAATAACGAGTTGGCAGGCTTTCGATCACGGGATTGAAGCTCTCTTGAAAAATGTGGTTTCCACTAATACTCGTGAAGCCATATCTAACCAATGTTTTACTCTTGGTGACCTCCTGATGAAGGTGCGTGTCCATTGCTGATTACGTGAGCGTTGGCAAAGATTGCTGCTAACAACCACATTCAATAGCCAATCCAACGGGTTTGCAAGTATCAACTATTCCTTGCTGAACTGCTCAAGAGCACACCTGTTGCCGATTGTCCTTCCTCCCACGCTATAATCGAGGGGGCCTTACAGCGGACACTTTCAGCATCACAGGACATAAATCGTGCTACGGGAGATCCAGTCGCCAAAGATAGAATTCGGAAATCTATGTTGCTAGGAGAGAGACTCGATTTTGCGAAAAAGGTATGGAATCTCGTTCTGATCTATACGAACATACAGTTGTTTCAGTATTGATTTATTTTATTAATTAGGGTGACCGCAGTGTGCTCCACGACTTTGGGCCTATCAAGTTGTGTGGAGCTCTGCATGTTACGTATCAAACCAAAGACAGCGTCACTGGTGAATATATGCTTTGTTGTCTATTTGGTAAATACTTCCTACTCGCAACCCCATGCGAAGACAATCGGAAATTCAATGCTGTTGCAGTAATTCATATTCCAGGCGCCAGCGTAGAACCTGCGGACAACGGTATAGGTGAGTGGTGGCAATTTGTGATATAGTAAAATGCTACAAAAGAAACTAATTGATTCTAGGCCTCCACTGTGTTTATGCACCTTTTTCTTGGAAATTGGTCTTCGAGGCGCGGAAGCAAACTTTTGAAATAGTATTGACTGGATGTTCTGAGAGAGAGGCTTCCCGCTGGAAGGACCACCTTATGAGACAGTCACTAGCTGAGACGCATAACTCGTTGGATGAAAATATCATTATGCAGAAATACTCCACGACCCGGCTGGCTATGAAACCACTTTCCGCAGCCGTTTTTGATAGGCAAGTACACAAACTTAGCCGTCGTTCATCCATCCACGGTTCCTTGTTCAGCGCGCCTTCGCACCCAGATTGCGTTCGCCTTCTCATTAAAGGAACCCAAGCGGTACCCCATGACAACCATACCAGATCATCCACTCTTGGGAGATCACAATCCCTCCAATTAGCACGCCAGTCTGTTGTTCTCGCCCCTAAGCGGCAGGACAGAATTCGAATGGAAAAATCGCTTTATGATGTTTGGACGTGTGACGTTCTTCCATATCCAGGAATGCCGGCCTGGAGAGGAGAGCACTTGATACGCTCATCCGCAGAATCTTTTATTAGAAGACTGAGTTCACGACGGCCGTTCACAAGGCGATCCAGCAGTCTCGCGACCACGATCACAACGAAGTCCGTTGAGCGTACTATTACATGCAAAGAGGACATCTCCTTCTGGGACTACATCGGGCATACGGAAACCGTTTCATCCTCGATGAATTCCGCTAGAGCTCATGAGATCGTTCATGAGGAAAAAGATGATTTCGACTGCCGTTCGTTTGGGGTTGTCGACGCTCAGCAACAGAAAGCATCCTCGAAGGGACGGGCAGAGAAAAAAAAGGCAAATAGTCCGTTCGGGAGCGAACGTAACAAGCCATCGCTCAGGAAGAGATGGAGCGTTTCCATTTTCAAGACGAGCACCCCAGTTGTACCTACCATGACCTGTTGATTCTGTGCTTTTCCGCTGGGATTTCCTGGATGCCCGAATGTTAGGTACGTAATAGTAATATACTTGTACGGCACATAAGTTTTATAGTCCGTATCATGGCTCAAGAGTTAAGGGAGGCGTATTGGGCGGATGGAAGGAGATAGAACAGCCCATAGACAGGGGGAAAGGGGTAGTGTTCATGATGAATTGGTTGGTGGGTGATGGTGGGATTATAATAAATTCTTTATATAAATTCATGGCTTTCGCATTTTAAGGGGCACCCATTGCCAAACGAACTAACTAGCTAATTGCCTGCCTGGCTAAAAGAATGAAATGACAAGAACCATCTGGAACAATTGGGTTATGACGTATCCAGGATAACCAAGTTTTTCCGCGTTAATTAGTTTGTGGATTGTTTCCCCCCAAGTGCCACCGCCCAGCTCTCTTTCTCATTTACTGGGCGGGGCGGAACCGGCGCTAGAAGCGTTGGCCGATGACGTCGTTGAAATCCAGGAGACGGGGCTAGGCGCTGGGGAGTGACATCAGCGCTGGCGGGCATTCTGCGGGCGGAACATGTTGTATTTATTGTATTTATTTACCTATGATATATGTATGATATATTATATGGATATGGGCTGCATTTTCCTTGACTTCTCCCAACCACAATAAAAAGGAATATCCCAAAGCTCTCGAAACGAAATATAGCTAGCTAGCAATCTAAGCTCATCTCTTTTGCTCTCTCAATTGCTCTATAACTCACACGCAACTCTACTGCTCTCTACCATACCTTGCCACATCACACTATTGCTATTTAACAGCGCTTTGCTGCACAATAACGGAGAAAAGCCATTGGGATTGTAATACGATATTATTAGCCTTTGGGGAAATCAGGAAATAATCCACCCCCCGGCCTGCTTTTTGTGAGTAATGACCCTTCCTCCCTATCGGGCAAATCAAACGCCCTCCCTTCCTTGGGACTATATATATATAGCTAACCCCATGGCCCACTAGATATATACTTTCAATTCAGACAATTCAACTTACCTTCCTCGCTTATATACATCTATCACTACTAAATTCAAACACTTGTCAAAATCAGCAGAGCCAAACCAAACCAAACCAAATCAAGCCACCAAAAAGACAGCAATCATGACTCGCGGAAACGTCGGTATCTACAAAGTCTTCTACAAAGGCGACAACGATGACTTCCTCGTCTTCATCGACGATGTGCAGGCGCTGAAGAAGTGGAAATCGGACAGCTCGACCCCGATGGCGCAGGTCGTGAGTGGGTTTCAGGTGTTTATTACGCATCGGTATGTTCGGATTTCGTTTTTCGGATTTTCGTTTTTCGTTATCACTATCCCCGCTTTGGATCCCTGCTTGTTTATGTTATTGAGTAGGATGTTATTGTTTCTTTGGCTGCCGTTGAGAAATTCCATTTCACTGATTACTGACTGACGCTGGCCCCCCTTCTTGTGTGTTAATAGACAAGGCGCCCAGGGCATCCATGACGTTGCCAGCAATGCCATTCTGCACGCTGAGTTCGGGACGGAGGATAAGGTTGCGTGCATCAAGAAGATCTTGGAGGCGGGTGAGGTGCAGGAGTCGGAGGTATGATATATACTTGCACTATCTTTCTTTCTTTCTCTATCACTCGTTTTCTCTCTCTCTCTCTCTCTCTCCCTCTTACTACCTATCCGTTTGAGGGTACAAAAAGAGGGGAAACCCAAGAAACGAACATGGAATTGAGAAGAAAACTAACATGTGGGACATTCAAATCTATTAGAATCCCCAACGTTTCGGATCAAAGAATGACTCCATGGGTCCACGCGTTAACCACTAGTGGGTAATGGTTTTGGGAGAAAAAAAAATTCACTTCGCCCTTCAAATCTGGAAGAGTAACACAGACAAAGACCAGATTCACCGTGGGTTAAATAAATAAGAGAATTCGACGAGATTGGAGAGTGGAAGGGGACTTTTTTGACTCCATTCTCGGGCTAGCTGTGTTATGATATAATTTGTTTAGCTTTTTTTCTTCCCTTTTTTCATGAAGCGTTATGTGTATGTATAAAAATTATATATATTATGAAGAAATTAAATGGATTTGATTGAAGCCTAGTTAAACGAGCGGGGTGGCGGGGAGGCGGGATGGCACTTTCAGGCCTTTTCCCATTCCCTCCCCGGCCCACTGCCCTTGATAAGGTCCATACCATGTCTGTTTCTGTGATCGTACATACATGCATACAATTTCGTTCAGCGGATTCGTTGTTTTTAACAAGAATAATGACTTGGTTTCGTATCTGTACATCCCTGGTTAGAAATGGAGTTGTAGATGTATTTGTACGCAGCGTAGGTAGGATGAGGACGGCAGGGCATTTCAAACAACATCAGGGCTCTAGACAGTTTTGTGTTAAGTTCAATCATTGACGTGATTTAGTTGCAATCATCATGTTCGGCAGCGCAAGCAATGCCCAGGGGCGTGGTGAATCATGATAGTCAACATAGTCAACATAGTCAACATAGTCAACATAACAACAACTTTTTTTGAAGGCCAAAGCACCTAGAGACGAGTGAACGGCGGTTGGGTGGAAGAATGAGGCAAGATCGTATTCAAACGAAATTAAATTCAATAAGTTCGAAAAAAATTACAACGGCATGGTATTCTCCATGTTAGGAATGGCTCACGGTCGAGCGAGATATGATGGATGATGGATGGGGGAGGTCTTTCATGAAAAACAGGGGTATTAGAGAATTAATTCCGCTTTCCACTACTCAAGGTTTCTTGGATCTTTTCACCGATCATGTCGCCAACTTTTCCCATAACCTTATCAGCCATAGATTCTAAATGAAGTGAAATAGAGTCAGTCAGTAAATATACAAGAAAGCATTATTCAGTAAGAGGAGAACACCGGCAAAAAAGGATGTGTGCGTGAGGATATGAAAAAGTAGAGTTCCGAACTGTGTCTTCATTAACCTACTTGAACCCCTTCTAAATTCAGTACTCACCCTTCTTCTCTCCAGAGCCACTCCTATCTCCATATTTATTAGAGGACTTCGACCCATAAGTATCGTTGTCATCATCGTCACGCTTGCCGGAGCCGTAGGTAGAGCTCTTGTTTCGATCGGAAGAACCGTAGGAGTTGTCATCACGACGGTTAGTGTTGGACCCATAAGTACTGGTAGTAGTAGTAGTAGTAGTATAGTCATCGTCGCGCTTGGTGGAGCCATAGGTAGAGCTCTTGTTTCGATCAGAGGAGCTGTAAGACTTGTCATCATCACGACGGTTGGTGGACGACCCGTACGAGGAGCTGCTCTTCTTGTTCAGGTTATCGGAGCCATATGAATCGCTTCCCTTGCCCGTATTTCTGGAGGGTCCGTAGGAATCATTGTCATCCCGTTTGCTGCTGTTATAGCTGCTATTGTTATTATTGCTTCCGCTATTCCCAGTGGAGCCGTAGGAGCTCTTGTTTTTATCGGAAGAGCCGTAGGAATCATTATCGCTCCGCTTGTTGCTGCCGTAGCTATCATTTTTGTTTCCAGAGGAGCCGTGGGAGCTCTTGTTTTTATCCGAAGAGCCGTAAGAATCGTTTCCTCCAGTACGCGTAGAGGAGCCATACGAATCGTTGCGGTTGCTGGATCCATGGCTGTCGCTGCCAGCGCCAGCTCGGCCGGAGGAGCCATAGGAGGACTCGTTGCCGCGGTTGCTGGATCCGTATGTGTCATTGCCACCAGTTCGGCCGGTAGAGCCGTAGGAGTCGTTGCCCTTGTTGGAGCTGTAAGAGTCGGTGCCCCCGGTGCGGTTAGAAGAGACGTGAGAGTCATTGTCGTCACGTTTGTTAGAGCCATATGTGTCAGTTCGGCCCGAAGAGCTGTACGAATCGTTGCCCCCAGTGCGGTCGGAGGACCCATATGAATCATTGTCACGCCGGGTGCTGCTGCTGTTGTTGTTGCCCCCGGAGCCATAGGAGCCGGTTACACCGGACCGACCTGATGAGCCGTAGGAATCGTCATTATCCCTGCGGTTGGAGGAGTTATTGCTATCCTCATCACGACGGGAAGTAGACTGGTTGGTGTTAGTGAACGGTGACATTCTACTGCTAGAAAAGTATCCAATTGGAATTTCAAAGGATTGGCCGGCAGGGAACATGATATTGTGATCTTACTCCGCCGTGGCCGCTGTTTCCATGGGCCTTGACGGATTGTAAGAGGGTTGGACTGCGGGAACCAAACGGGTGCAGGATGTATCACTCACGTAGCTTCCACTGCTGTTGTTGTAAGACATTTTGAAGGGAGTCGAAGGCGAGAAATAGAGTAAATGTGAAATAACTGAATTGAAAATAGAATCAATTGAAGCTGAGAAGATTTTAAACACTTTGTATGCTAGAAAATGCGTTGAAGGAATATAAGAAGACGCAGACGGAGCCGAAAGACAAACGTGGCTGAAGCAGATATTTATCCTTTTCCCAGGATAACACACTCGATCCGCTGCTGAGGGGTAACCCATTGACACAAGCAGCATCACGGAAATCGCTCCTACAATTATCGCCACCAGCTAGCAAGCAGCTGGCGTTCAAGGAGGGGCATTATTCAACATGGCTAGCTGAATCTCACTAACATCATGCCCAGTTGCAGCGACCTTCTGCATGAAAACGACGGCCGAAAATATGCAAGATGAAGCCCACGATCTCAGTCCCGCTTGGTAGCGGGATCTGAATGGCCACACCTGGTGTAAACACTGTAAACACAGCCCAGGAAACCTGGAATTGCAGTTTGAAGGACTCCAGCTAGCGAAGCCAACAGCTCAAAGACTTCATAACACTGGGGCTCCGCTTGATAAATGGCCCAATTGAGAGACTTGATCTCAATCACGCTGGGCAGGCCCGCTAGGATCGATGGTCTAGCCCGCAGCGGAGGAAGTTGGCCCCAAGGGCTAAGGCAGGACGCGCCTTCAAGAGCAACTTGTGTTGCAGCAAAATGCGGGCTTCAAGTTGGAGTGAGGGTCAACTGTCAGCGCAAAAGCGTAAGCTGTGGTGGTGAGCTCATGATTGTCGTTCCTGTCGCTGAAGCGTAGCAATTGTACTCTGTATTGTAGGCGGTGATGTAGGTGTAGGTGTTGGTTTGCGCGCCCCCGGTGGAGTTTTTGATATCAAAGTCCAAAGTCCCAAGCCATTCTCCACTCAATCCTCACTAGCGGTGGCTATAGGATTTTCACCAGCCTCAGCTAGGGGCAATTCCAGGCGAACAGCAAGACGGCAAAGGACATGAGGAACGCGTTGCGTTGACTAGTAATAACCATCGCGCGGGTGGCCATAACTGTGACAAAGGTGGGACAACAAGATGTCCAATTAATTATGTGTGGTCTTTTCAATCTCCGTCCAATGCCTCCCGCTGAAGAGCTGATGGAATTGGGGTTCTGTGTTGCCGTTCCCCGATTCCCTAGAGTATATAACTAGGTGGTCGGTCATTTTGTTAGGCCCTATATATAATAATAATGTCCCAAGAACTCTCTGTCTTTTATATGACTCGCTCTCTCAGCCCAAGGGAGAATGCTCAATATAAAACGCTTCGCAACCTTCATGAGATTCTGACTCTGACATACATAGATCTCGCGGTTTTATCTCTAAGTAATATATTACTTGAGAACAACTACTTTTTTCATATACTCTTCTTGAGTTTCAAAAGCATGTGTAAAGTTATTACTTAACTAGTTAATTCAGAAGCGGTCTAGATTCCTTAAATTATCCAGAAGCTAGAAGTTTAAAAAAAACTAATGTGAATATTCATTTCTTTTCTTGACACCTCTCTATGCTTTTTGTCTTCAAAGAAAGATGAGCATCTCAACTCAATATTACCCTTGAAAACCATTATTGTCAAGTTCAACCTCTCAAAATGGCACAAAATCAGATAAATAGAAAGAAATGGTGGTAATTTTGACAAAAAAAAAAAAAAAAAAAAAAAAATTGCGTGAGATTTCAGGTTTCATCCATGTCCACCGAAACAATACCAAGATGTACCAAGCTGTCAACATGGTGAATTTGGAATACCAGAGCAAATCCTCCCCCCTTTCCTTACTTTCGCTCTTAAGATATGACACGGGGCCAGCTTTATGCAGTTCCTGTTGCTGCAACCTTTGTAACTTAGCCTCAAACAGCTGCGACTCCTTAATGGAGATGGAGACACGCCTCAAATGCTGAGAGAACATAAAATCGATAAATTGAATCTCTGTGTGGTTAGGTTCATCGATCTTGTGGTGATGTCTCTTTTCTTAAAAGAGTCCGTTGTATTTGAATGAAAACGAAGGGAGGCTGCGGGTAAATATAATAGCAAGAACAAAGCACTCGGGGGCTCAAAAGAGTTATTTTGTGGATGGTCACATAGGATCATTCCTCATATCTAGGTGCATCGCTTAAAAGCATCAATGGAAGAAGAGTGTTTGCGCATGTGCACGTGAATAAAGAGTAAGTACAGTACATTTTCCTTTTGCCCTTGCCTCGATGTCGTGAATCAGAGCATGCTGAGAAAAGGGGGAAATGGGAGGAGACGAAAACCGCCCGATGGCTACATATATCCAGCCGTGGTCCCTAAATCTTGGACAAACCTGAGTTGGACTCAAATCCTTCCGGTGAAAGTTTGGCAGGGCAAAAGTCAGATAATACATGAGCACCATGACTTAAGATGTAGAGGAAAGATTAGATATCGACTTCAATATTTACGAAAAAAGACATGATAGATACGAACGTCGTCCCAAACCAGTCCCTGAATCGTAGCTAGCTTTTTTTGAGATTGGGGGATTGAAGAACAAGGAAGACAACAGCAAATAAAAGCAATGGATATAGAGCTGAAAGGTATTAGAGTAGATAGAGACATATATGCGTGTGTACTGAGAAAGGAGATGGAGCGCTCGCATAACAACATGACTCGAGGAAAAGAAAAACGTCCATATAGACAACACAAGTAGCTCTTAAAATATAAGTAGCTTTCGTATTAGCGTGATCTGGTTGGCGGTCATTTTCATATTTAACAGCAAGGTTCACGTACCAAGTGGACAGCAAAACGGGCAAAATTGAGCAGATCAGAAATGCTCCTTCCAAAACTTGAACCGGACTTCATTAGTGGCACAGTCATGGGCGGCCTTCTTGATCAACTTAGCTGCCGGATTGGGCCCACAAAAGTAGACACCGATATCCGTCCGCAATGAAGCGTCTAATCCGGACATATAAGTTTGATCAATCAGGCCGTTCCGTAGAGCTGTGAAAAATCTCGTAAAGTCTGGTCGGCCGAATTTGGTTCCTGTCCGCAATTCTGTGAGTGGATCTATGTCGTGACCGACGGAGTTGAGGTAGATATTGGCGGCGGTATCTTGGTCAAATCGTTGTGTGAGGTAGGTGTGGATACGCAAGAACTCTTGACCATCGCCGGCCTCTGCTGCTGATTGGGCTTCCAGCGACGAAAGGAGAGCATGGAACCACTCGAAGGAACTAGTATCCTTGCAAACCCAGATGAATTCGACACGGCGAAGACGCGTTGGTGGATTTGGTGACGCTCGTAGATGCCATATATTCTTAAGGATTGAAGCCCATGGGGTAACGCCAATACCTGTTCCGATGAGAATAGCGATCTCATTGTTGAAAACGTCTTCTGCGGGGGCTCCGTAAGGTCCATCAATTCGAATGCTAGGCATTGTTTGTCCGTTTTGCATGGCAATTTCGTACATGCCCAGTGGGTCAAGGCCATCAATGTCCTTTGCTTGTTGTGGGCCACAACCTAAACGGTTACCCAATTGTTTTGTCCAGTCTCCAACCTGCCGTATGTGAATGCTAACGTAAGGGTCAAATGGACAGGACGTGATTGTAAAGGGATGCCATTGCGCCCTTGAGACATCTGGAACATTTATGAAGAGCCACTGGCCGGCCTTGTAGCGAAAGCTGGGCTTGTAAATTTGGATTTCCATGGCATCTTTTGCGAAAAAAAAGAAGTTATTAAACTTGCTAGCCAGAGTTCTCGGGAGCATACACATACCGTAAGGATGCCTAACGACTTTCGTAATTTCTGTAGGTTTCGCTGCTCGAATTTCTCGGTAAAGCCGTTCAAAGAGGTAAATACCTCCACCCCAGAGCTCCCATCTCCAACCTTCGTAACCGATGCAGTGATCCCAAAAGTCCTTTCCCGCAAGCGGCGAAATTGGGTCAACTGTATCTCTGACGAAGCAACCTGTAGCATGCGTGTACAGCCCCAACATAAATGGAATAAATAGATGGTGGGTATACCAAAAAGTCTCGAAAGCCTGTTGTCGAATTCGGTGATGTGCGGTCGTGTACATTAACAGCATGCACAGAAGCATGATATGGCCGGTAATCCCACCAGCCTGAGTGTAATGAATCTGAACAGCAGTCTCGGGACGAACTTGAGACTTCTCGACATTGAAAAAGCTGCAGCATCTGTTAGTCACTTTGACCATATCAAAAAAACGCGAAGCCATAACTACAAACGTACTTCACATAATGAGCAGTCGTATGCACAATAGAAAAGAAAAGTAAAGAATATGCCACCTGGCGATGGAACCACTGGGATTCATCCAAAGGAATCCAGCGAATCTTCGGCCGCACCCATCTCAGGAGTGTCCGGCACATGGGCAACAGGATCAAGGCGCCGTCAATCGAGAGCACCAAGCCGGCACCACGAGAGATCCATACCGAAAACCCCAGCGTATTCAGGGGTGCCAGACGAGGGTCAGCAGCTTGTTTCCACCTGTTTTTACTCGATCAGAATAAAACATCCACAGACACCCGCCTCATTGATAGGATAGGATAAACTTACCATCCAAAAGCAAACATGCCTATCTGCAATCCATGGAACAGGAAATAGAAGAGGATCTTCGAGCTACTGAAATTCGATTTCCACCACGCCGAATTCATGGTTGCGAAATAGTCACTGATCTTAGTATCCACAATGAGGTATTTAGGGGTTTGAAATATAGTAAAATAAACACCGTGAAAACTGCGAGAAACTGCTAAAAGTCGGGTATTAAGTAAGATATAGCAATAAAACAGGAGGAATGACGACCAGCGGTTCCTGAGAGAAGAAGAAGCTCAGATCCAAGGGCAATCAATGCCTTCTGGAAAGAGTAGCCAGAATAGTCACAACCAAGCGAAGGAATCCGCACCGAAAAAGATAACGATGACAAGGAGAAAAGAAAGAGGGCAGGAAGCCGTGGGAAAAAGGAAGAGATGAAGGTAACGGAGGTAGTCCTGTAGTCTTAACGGCGGGTCTCCGAATGCTAATGGTGCCGAAATATTAAACTATAATGTCACAGACCATGATCTCACTTCTCGGGAGTCTCTCCCCTAGAACCACCTTGAATGCTCCCAGAACCGGCACTCCTGTTCACTCCCGTTCCTCCTACACCGGTCTAGCTCAGAAATTTGTTGAATCCGGTTTGCTGCACTATCCATGTATCCACACTGACGATTCGCTCGATGCACCCACCACCGTATATCGATATCAAAAGTTTTTCTTAGCTTCCCCCTCTCCCGCCCATTATACACTTTCCGGGGAGCAACTTATGGCAGAATGACTTATGGCAGAATGACCAAATTGAGAAAGAGATGACAATAGCCGATGCCCTTTTTCCCGCGCTGGTGATTTTGTAACTATCCAGTGGCGCAAGTTGGGGAAATGATGGGCAGGAATCGTGGCTCGTTTAGGAAGCAAGACAAGACTAAGGAGATCGGAAACGAAGAAAATCGACGATAGTGCGGTTTGAGAAGCGTAGGAGATGCAGCTCGAGCTGTCGCAGGATAGAAATTTGTGATTTATGCCTTGTCTATATAGGATGGTGGATCGTGGGCCCGGTTTCTGAAGCACTGATGAGACGACCACAAGCGCGCCTGAGAACCGGGAGTGAAGTCGACCCAACTTCCTCGCTCGCTTATTCCGACTGGGCAAACGGGACCTTGCACCAACTCTTTCCAGCTATAATGCGCTATTGTTATTAAAACTGCTGTTGTTCGTGTTGGTTGTGTGCTGAGGTTGTTGCCGTTGAGGTTGGCCGTGGTTGTATTTGTCTGGGTGTGGTTGCAATGCGGCTCTTTTGTTTCCCAAATCAGCCAACGGTAGTGCCAAATAACTATCCAAACGCGAGGATTCCACGAGATCCTGCAGTTGTATCCTGGTGCAACGATTGGATATGGCAGCAAGGAATTTTCTGTGCAGATAATTACCGCCCGTCAAGAGCTGCTGGGAATCTGTAAGACTGCTAGGGCTCAAGATTGTAGGTCTGGCGGTATATGGAAGAAAGCTCAGTGTATCAGCAGAGGAGACGATGGGAGAGTAATCAAGTGACAAAATTGATACAATTCAGTATGTGCATTTGATGGCCTTAGCTGGTGGATTTAATATGATGGTATCCTTATATCTACGAATGAATATTAACTACTGCCCTAGGTCTCTCTCTCATCGTCCCCCCCAATTCAACGCTGTATGGGTCGTTGCCCAGCAATCAGATTGCTACCTCACTATCACATCTTGTTGGAGATGCGCTATTCTTTAATTTAACACCAAGGCTTGAAATCTCGCTCGTCCCCGCCAATGGTCCGGATGTAAACTGCTCAGAGTACTCCGTCTCGCTATTATTAGCTTAAAAGTGTAAGTGAAGCTGCCCTCATATCTAATCTAAACTCCGAGAGAAAGCCGGGCTTGGGCGCTAACTCTATATATCCACACCCAGGGACTGGTCCCTCGTGGCCTGGTAGGGACTTATGGCGGTAATGTGGAAGGGTCTATCCGTTCCATCGGCACACATTTCTTTCCTTTGAGGCTATTGGTAAGTTAAATAAAAGAAATGTGCACCATGATTTAACTTGTGTGTGCGAGAACTTCCTGTTGGAGTTCCATCTTGGAAGTATTTAATCAGGGACAGTCGTCGTCCAGTGCGCGCCCTTGGCCAAAAGCGCGGGGATTCCACTGCAAAAGAGTCCCACCACATTGCCAAGGCGCTTACTTGAGTTGCTTTCGGGTTCAGCCTATCATATGCATTCTGCAAGCGCTCAATGACATTCGGCTCACTTGGCATTTTTTCTTCTTTTTATTGAACCGACGGAGACCAGGCCAATAATTGCTTCTCCAACTTCAAGGGGTGGGGCCGGAGAGCCCATCCTGGACAGTCCACCACCACCGAAAGGCTCATTGGGAAAAAAGAACTACCCGTAAGGGTTGTGTTGCTTGGGCTATTTTTAGGCTTTTTTCTGAGAGTTGAAACCACAGCATCATTAATCCAAGCCACCCCCGAGGTTGCGTGGTTCTGGAAATCTCAAAAGGGAGTTGAATGGACCCTTGAGATCTTGCGAACTGTGGCACAGCCAAGCGATTCGATGTCGCCGACTTTAAAGGGGAAGAAGATAGAATCCGAAATAAATCTCGCTGCGCGCCAATTGTCCTCGCACGGAAGGCCCATATCGAGTCTAGCTAACATATGGAGCACAAGTGATCATGCAGGACTGTGAGTAGAACTCTCGATTATTAGTAGGTTCCGCTCTGTTGTGCGGGGTGGTCTCTTGCGGTCAGTTGTACTCCGTAGACACTTACTATTAGTTACCATCGATTGCTAGTATGTTAAATTTAAGTTTAGGTTGGCGGGATGGAACCCGTCGAGGTCAACGGGCAATACGATGTAGAATCTCGGAGCTACGAGCAAACAGGGTAATTTGCAAGTACGTCCGATGCTGTGCTTGGAGTGAGATTAGGACCTGTTTTCTGGAGTAGTTAGCTGACTTCTGAATGGCGATAGAAATAACGGACTGCCGTTGTAATGCACCTGCAAATATCCAAGATGTTGGGAGTGATTTTCCGCCGTTGACTGTCGCAGCGAGGATTTGGTTACTAAACTTTTCCTAATCATTTGACCTCATCACAACTACTCCGCGCGTGTCTCTCCGTATTCAAGACACTTTCGCTCTTTTATCTCATATCTGCTCATTAATAAACATTTTAACAACTCAACTGATCGACATCTCCTCACTCATCTCTAATGGCGGTACGGAGTAGAGTCGCTCAGTGATAACAATAATTAGCCCCAATGATCGTGGGATTTATCACGAGAAAGTAGCAAACTTTCAAATCAGGTCCCATACTTTGGCCCTTGGATTAACTAACTCCACACTGATTGGATCCATAACAGTCCGTTAGCCAGAAAGCGGAGAGAAGTGCGAGGAGCCTTATGCAGCATGATGCACAAATTCCACCGTTCTCTCTACTGCGTCGGTTTCTGGCCTGCTAGGCAGTGCTAGCCAGCGACATTAGCCTGGGGCTAAGTGGGTCCGCCAGGCAAGGCGGGAGCTCCAGTTTCCCCATTGGCCATCGCCAGTTGGTGTCGTCTCGTCAGGATCACACCAACTTCAAGTATCACAAACCCCCGCTCTTGCTTCATCATTGTGCGTTCCACCATCCCAGAAGGACTCAAGAGCTTTGGCCCTTGGCACTGCCAATGAAGCCTGACCTGTCAGGTTCCTTGTTCGCAGCTAGCCCCTTTGTGAAGCCGAATTACCTGGCGTCGTGAGCAGAAGCACAAAACGATGATCATATTGGGCGGGAGTTGAGTCAAAGATGAAATCATTTCAAATAAACTAATGGTGCGGGTTGGTGGGTGTGGGAGTCATTCTAAGGGCAATTATTTTCTCCCATTTTCATTAATAATGCTCTAATTTCTGGACTCGCCACGGGACTCTCTCACCAAGCAACCGGAATTCAACCAGCTTCACAATCCATGCGCCACGGGAAGCCAGCGGCAGCGAATCGCATCGTTGGAGGCTTTTGAGAGGGGTGTCTGCTCACCCAGCGCCTCCAAACCCGGCGCATATTCACCTTCATATTCACCAACTATTCCCGCCTTTTGAGGTAACAGATCCTCCACACCCACCCAGCCATCATACCCATGCAGATAAACGTTGACGTTGACCGCTCTACATAATAATCATAATTCAAACAACCCATTCGCTTTCTATCCTCAGATAATAGAAAATATTTAATGTATGTATCCCGTGTTGCCCTTCGGCCTTCCTCTGTCCTCTAAACCACAAAAGTTACTAATTTGCGCTCCCAGAATCTGTAACAATTCCCAAACAACCTCTCCTGGAGACGCCTCTACGATTAGTTTATGCGCATTCGACACTGTACAAGTATCGCATAGCTATAAGCTTCCCGCATCCATTGTCACAGGCCAAAACAAGCCGATCACTGAAGCCAAAAAAGACTCATTTCCCGTCTGAAAATTGCTCCAACTTATCCAAAAACCCCCCTTTGCCGTCTCTACCGCCAAAGCGCAGTACTTAAGCTTTTTTTTTTTTTTTTTTTGGGTTATTATCCATCCTACATTATCCGCCGAAGCGCCCTCTTCCCCTCCCCTCATGTCTTGTCGATAGCCGTGAGGGAAACAGCATCGCTTCGCGAACGCTATTTTACCTCGACCGATACTCGTTAGGAAGACCTGAGCCTAAAAGTTTTATATATATCCTCCTGTCTTTCGCTGGTCGAAAGGGCCTTTTTTTTTTTTTTTTTTTTTTTCCCGCAGATTGTGCGGTCCTATTTGTATGAACTTCGAACCGTTCAAGCTGAGGGAAGCCAGTTCTTCTTCCACCATATAGTTCAAGAGAAAGACAGGACGCAATAGGATATATTAACGATGGGAAAGCTGATCAAGAATCATTGGGCTCGCCTGATCATTCTGACGGCAGCGGCACGTATGTGTTAGACTCTCCCCTGGCACCCTTGAAAATGTCATTTACGACCCTATATTCCTGTCACTGATAATGTTATTTCTTATTTTCCAGACCAATGCGCCGCCGGAGTGCACGGCTTCTTCTGGCCCAAGGTCTTTTGGGACTTCCTAACGAAGAATCTCGACGGCGCCGTAAAACCCGTTCCTGTCCTGCAAATTCTCAACTTGTTGTTCGGACTCTTATGCCTAGCCTGGGAATGGCCGCTGAAACCCCTCGCCGGAACTGCGATGCACCGTAGCATTGAGATACGATTGCTGGTATTTCCCATCAGTACGCTATGTGCGATATTGCTATATCAGGGGACCAATTCTGCACTTTATTACCTGATCGGAATGGTTGTGTATTTCTGGGCGTATAGTGAGGGAGAGGTGAGTGATTTTATTTCCACAATATTTCCTACCAGCTTGCTGGTATACGTGCATTTACTAACTTTATTATCATTTTAGGTTGTCTGCGCTGAGCCATGGACACTGCCCAGGAGAATAAGGCCCGGCCAGCCGAAAGTGTAAGACAAAGGCAAAGCCCATAAGGCACATCAGCGCTTTGATTCCCGTCCATGGACTTGTCGACTTGGCTCCTCTTATCCAGCGAGCCAGCGAGGATGATAAAGAGCTGTGTTTCAACAGAAAACTTCACTTCCATCCGATTTTAGATATATACCCGATTTTAGATCTATACCCGATTTTAGATCTATACCCGTTTGTCATACATACTCTGTATATAGATCCCTTTCCAACCTGTCTCCCACAGGTCGTATATATGTATTTATCATATTTTTCATGTGTTATATGTTATTGTTCAAGCATTTACAGCGTTGCTTTCTGGTCTTTTTTGTTTACCCACTGCCTATTCTCTCGAACCTGCCTTGGCAAAGTTTTGGCGGTTTCATGGCGTTTCTGGCAGGACGTCATCCTATATATGTATGTATGTATGAGGACTATCTAGGTGGTGGTTATTGCTTGCCATTCCGCCATTGGTTCGATTGTGCATCCTCCACATTCAAGAAAAAATAAAATGCATAGTTATTTGGTCAGCTTATCTATTCATAATTCGATGTCTTCGCCGGTATCCAGGAGAACTAGAGGTTGTGCGTGGGCTGCAACAATCTACAAACCGCCTGGGAGGTGAAAGTCCAACAATGATACTAGAAGATTGATAGTGAAGTCGAGCTTAAATCCAACACTGTAGCCCTATTCGCAGGTGGGCAAAGACCTCCGCTGATAGATAGATTGTGTCTCGCTGGCCCTCCAGTATACCCATGCGTCTTTGACTTGTCCCGTTGAGTTATCTCCTCATTTCAGGGATGGAGAAATGTTGTAGACTCCCTAACTGTATGCCTTGTGAGGTCCCCCCGTATTGCATTTGATCGGAATGAAGACATGGAGTCAGTCCGGCGGAACTCCAGTTGAGCCAAAAAGGCTTTTCTGTATCTTGGAAGAAGCACGATCTGGCGCCTAGAGTTTTGAAGAGGTATTTGCTGGAATCTTCGGTAGAAACACAGGTCAGGCCAGGGAATCATGCTAAACTGGGTTGTCATTTTTAGCAGAAATCGATGTTCGCTGCTCATTTTGCAAACGGTTGGAGGATTTTATTTAAATAATAGCTCAGGAATAGCTGTCATATATGTTTTGTGCACTCCGCGATCCGTCCTCCAGCTTTCTTCTGGTTTTGGTTTCAGTATAGAGGCTGAGCCCGGATGGAATCTGAAGTTTAGTTAGTTGCTCGTATAAAAATGCGTCAGTAAGACATAAAAAAGATATTTTAATTGCTTTTCGCATTGTTGCCTAGAGGCAGTCGTCAACGACTGAAATATTGGTCTTCGTTCCCCTTTATCGACCTTCACCTTTTGCCGATGCTTCAGTCAACTAAATAATCGATTCATCACGTAATTAAACAAACTTAAAAGCAAAGTTTGAACTGAACCGACTCCTTGTTCATTATTCATCAGACGAGAGGACTGATAGGCAGTACAGATAGATATCACAGATGGACAGCACAATGCCGTCCATTAACGACGACAACAGGCCCGATGGCGACAGCATACCCCCTTCGCCTTCATTTAAGGGGAACCTGGATCGCTTCATCTATGACTCTCCGCCCAAGAAAGCCCTCTTCGTGCAGCAGACACAGAGCTTAGGGGCAGGGCGCACGTTGAAGCGAACGTTCTCCAACAACGATGAGGTGGAGGTGGATGCAGTAGTAGTTTCTCAAGCAAGCACGCGCATAACCCGCTCCGTCTCCCGCGCTTCCGCAGGCCTGCTCTCGCCGTCGCCGCAAAAGAAAAGTCGATCTGAACCCTCCTCACCATCCCGTAGAACCTCCGGCCGCCAAACACCCAATACCAGCACCACCACAATCGCTGCTAGCAGAGCTCCCTTCGTATCAACTCCTAACCTCAGGTCCCCCGTATCTCCAGTATGCAACCTCCGCGACACCATTCCACACAACCTCGTCCTCCTCTTCATAGGCGTTAACCCAGGCATCATGACCGGGCAAACAGGCCATGTCTACGCCCACCCTTCCAACCTCTACTGGAAACTCCTCTATTCCTCTGGCATAACCGATTACCGCCACCCTCCCTCCGATACCTACCGGCTACCGGAGCTGTATAGCGTCGGCAACACGAACATCGTTGCCAGACCCACGAAGGATGCTAGCCAGCTATCGAGGAAAGAGATGGATGACGGAGTACCGGTGCTGGAGAGGAAAGTGAGAGAGAAGAGGCCAGAGGCTGTTTGTCTTGTTGGCAAGGGCATTTGGGAGGCGGTGTGGAGGGTTCGGAGGGGGAGGGCGATTAAGAAGGAGGAGTTTAGGTACGGATGGCAGGATGAGGGGGAGAGGATGGGGAAGACGAAGGGGTGGAAGGGAGCTAGGGTGTTTGTAGCTACGACCACGAGTGGGTTGGCGGCTGGGATGACCATGGCGGAGAAGCAGGCCGTGTGGGATGAGCTGGGTGAGTGGGTGAAGAGGAGGAGGGGTGAGAGGGAGAAAGAAGGGATTCCGAAGGTGACGGCTGTAGATGAAGGTGATGAGGGGGATTGATGATTGCGGGTGTGATTCTGTGCTCATTCATTTGGAAATAGGGGTTCTTGGTGTTTTGGCTCTATTTTTATTTTTATTTTTCATATATGTTGTGCAGTCCGCTTGGTGACCTTGCTTCTTGATGGCGTCGTGAATGTATGGAGGACAATTCTCAGTAGGGTGTTTACAAAATAACATACAAGGCCTTGTTTTGCTATAAAGTTATATACACATTCTCAGAAGGAGTATCAGTCCAGACATATGCAAAGCGGATGCCCCTCAAAAGTAGAATACCGTTTATGTCACCCTCCACCTACCGCAATGCCTTCTCCATATCATGCTAGTTCATCATCACCACTACTCGCATCTTCAGGCATATGAAGAGGGAGACCCCTAGTGTCAGTAGTTCCGGCCCCCCCTTGGCCCCTGTCTTCAAACCAACCTTCCAAATCTACATGAATCCTCAACTCCTTCTCAACAAGCACATTCCACACTTTCCTCAGCTCGTCCGGTCCCATTACCTCTCGTAGTCCCCGCTCCCGGAACGCAAGCATCACCAACTCCTTCGCCCACGGACAAGAACGTATCCCACGGTATAGGACCGCTCGTGCACGACCCCACTCTGACAGCGCAAGTTCGAAAAGTAGGTAGAGTTTCCAGGTGGATGCGCTGAATTGTCCGGAAGGAGTGGTGACGGCTGATTCAAAAGCAGCACGGGCGGAATGGACAGTCGACCCCGCTGAGACACCTCGATGGAGTTCGGTGTATATAGAAAAGAGATGAGAGATTAGTGTCGATTTTGTCGAAAATCTCGTTGTTGAATTCTTGTCGTCGTCGTCACCAATCCATGTTGTTGGGTGGGTATGTTGGCGCAGCAGGGAGCGGACGCGGTCTTCGATCCGGAAGCGAGATTCGTTCCAAGTAAAGAGGCTGAGGAATAAGGTGTTTTGCGGAAAGCGGGAAATACTATCTGTTAGCTCCGAGCGAAGGAGAGCGGGCTTGTATATCTTGGTTGAAGTTGCATGGTGATACAAAAGCTTCGCTTTCGCCTGGAGGAGCAGTTCTCCGAATTCCGTGTTTTCTAGCCGATGTTCAACGAGCCGGGAATGACTGGTGCCGTAAACGTTCATAGCAGCGTCAATGTCGAGTCTCGTAGCCAAATAGAGCAACAATGCGAGGCACTCTACGGCACTGACAAACACGTTAGGTTTGCGAGAGGTGAGACCATGCTCCCGAATTTCAGTGAGGATCTGGGTAGAATGTCAGCAATTTTCAGAAAATACTGTTAGGCATGCTTACCCTTTGAGTCTTGAGTAATCCACCAGGCTTAATATCTGTGGTGGATTTCACGTCATCGGCAAAGGCGCGTGGATCTATAGTGCCGCTAAAAACTGCAAGTAACAATCGAAGCGCTTTGTCGTTGTTATGGTCGGCGAGAATCTCCCACAGCCAAGTTCGCCATAAGAGTATGCTGCCTACTTTATCCTCTTCCTTGAAACTGTCGCTCATCGATAAGGCTGTGGTCCAAACATGCTCCGCTGCCGTTATCTGACCACCGCGACATTCAATCAGAGCGTAGGCATTATATAGCCGCAGGTTCGCGGAACGTTTCTTCAGAAGATTCTTCGCATATTTTTTTGCCTCCTCAGCACTGGAAAGGAATTCAAGGGCAACAGTAAACTCTGCAAGATCATCTTGCTCAGGCAAACGATTCACCAAGTGTCGCAGTGTTCTCTTAACCCATTCCCCGTCAAGAGGGCTGTGATCATTCAAATACGTGCTCTGCCAGGTTCGAAGTTCTGAAAACCAGGCTTCATTGCCAAACAATGTGTCCGAATTGTTTAAAAAGGTGGGGAGGGGAAATGCGTTTAGTTGGTCTTGCACAGTATCTTGTCCGCCATGGACCATATCCGAGAACCACCTCGACGATTGATCATCGAAATCATCTAGCAAATTGTTACGAATAAATGGATCTCTGCGCCATTCGGTGAGAATGCCTGATTTCCTAGATGTTGCTAGAGGAGGGAGTCCACAGAACATCATGAAAGCACCGATCAGTAAATCGGGTGTATGGGAGAATGGAATAAGAAAATCACTGATATCCGAGGACAATATCACTCGGTATGGGTCGTCTTCTTGAACATCGTCCAAGGAGCGAGCCGGCAGGCGCGAATGGCGAATTTTCCATCGTTCAGATTGCTCCCAGGATTCAAATATCGACCTTTGATCTATTTCCCGGCTAGTAGGGTCTGACTTGGGATCAGGAGCTGCACTGGCCCCACTGTCCCAGCCTTTTGCCCCAATTTCACCTATTCTCGGTATCTCACTGTCCCAAAATTCACAAAAGGCAGGTATCGCAGTCGCGGGGTCTTTTGATATATCAAATGATGTGGGATGGAAGAAATTAAATTCCAAAACTGCTTGCCATAGACCGACAGCATGCTCCACATATCCCGCCTCTCGCATAAAGCGACTTAGTCGCAGGATAAGATAAACGTTGATGATGTTGAGCTCTGTGCCGCCTTTGCGCAATCCATTGATCTTCAAACAGTCGATGAAAATCGACCGGCATTGCTCGTAGGTAAAATTAACAAAACGGGTTTGCTGAAAGTCCAAATATTTAATCCAAAGGTTCATGTAATCCGGGTTCGCTTGTAGAATGGTCTTCCACTTGTTCGAGAGCGTTTTGGTGTCATATAACGTTGCCGCTTCCTCCATCATACCAAGAAGGAGACGATCTCGACGAGCTTCCCGTGGCAATTTATTCAATGCTTTCTCGTATATTGATATTTTAATATCAGCAACGCTCCTTTTCTCTGCCGTAGTAAGTCTGCGCAGCCCGTCACTAGTAGCAACTCCAACCAACGAGTTCTGGTGTTCAATGAGCTGCAGCCAGCCTTCAACGTCATCCGGGTGTTCTGTGACTCTTCTGGATAAATCGGCATTGCGACGGCGGGCATTTTCATCATCAGAAACTAAATCTGAGTCTGAAACAGCTTCCAAGCCCTCGGGAGGTTCCTTGGATGGTTTAACTTTGCCTTCGATTGATCTGTAGTCAGTACCATTGTCCTCGGGTGATGATCCCCTGGGGTGCATATCCCCGCGAAGTCTCCTACGTTTGCTAGACACATCGGAAGTTAATGGCAAGAAATCTCTCTGAGCGTCAATAGACGAGGTATGCTCCGAGTCTGGCCTGACTCGAAATTTCGCCTCTCGTTTTGGCTTCTTTCGAAGGAATTCTCTATATTGTTGCTTTGGACTATCATAAACAGCCGTACTGTGTCTGATTATCACGGTATTTCCATCCTCATTGTCGCGATCAATCCTGTAACCTGGTGGCAATCCAATAACACTCCCTGACCCCGAGCGGAAATATTGTGGAACACTGTAACGATTTATACTGCCGTATTCCACATTGTATTTATCACCCTGTCTATCTATTATGAATAATTCCTGCTCGTCGCGTTTATTTGGCCATTGCTGGGTGCGTTCACGCCGCTCTATTTTGGAGGAGTAAACCGTGTTGCTATCCCTAGGATGCTGCCCACGACAGTGATCTGGTACATCCTTCCGCGAACGAGAATGATCTCTACGTCGTGAATGTCTAGACTCATGTCTAGACCGTTCATGTCTGCTGGAAACTGTTCCCCTTCCATGTTCAGAGCTGACATCTGCGGTCGCCGCAGTTGGTCGGAAGCTCGCGAACTTCGGGACTGGCTTCTTTTCCTGAAACAGTATAAATTAACCTGCATTCTGGTGTAAATATAAATCCTATTTGCGAAATACGCACCTTTGAGTTCCCTGAATCCATATCCAAGAAGCGCCCATAGCTGTCTGTGTCTTTGCCCCGAAGGCCGAGCCGAGTTGTATATCACGGTCGGATGCACTTGCTGTTTAGGGAAATAAAGCCTCGGGAAAAACTTCCGTTTTGGTCACAGAATTTTTGCGGCAACTCCAAATATTATATTTAATTTTGCACCAGATAGGTTTTGATTCCACCATCACAACCGCCCCGGAGGAATTTCCACGACAGCTAGCAGACGGCCTTCGGAGTTATTATATGACATTTAGTATGTTACTGGACATGGCCTTTTCCCCCTAAAACTTCAAAATCTCCCTGAACGGTTAATCACAATGGCGTCCTCGCTCGCCGCGCAGCTATCGCAAATAGCTGCAACCTCGACGCACCAGCTTGATTTGAAAGCCCAACGGGTTGCCCACTCGAAATCTTTGCTGTTCGAACAGAGGGATGCGGTATCTCAGAGCTTTGATACTATTTACCAAATATGTCATGAAGGATTCCAGGAATTATGTGCGCTTGATTCAAGATTTGTGAGATTCCGGCGTACGATATTCAGCGAACAGAGCAAGTCAGAGGATAGGCTTGAAATGAATGCAGAACAAAATCAAGAGCTGGATACTGTGTTGGAGGAATTTCTGGCACTTGTCGGTAGCCGTCTTCTACTTCAACCAGCCATCAAGGCGGTGGAGTGGCTGGTTCGTCGATTCGGGTATGTTTGCAATCCCTATGCCTCACTCACTCTGCTGGAGCGAGTCTTAACTAACATGAATCATTCAGAGTTCACGAGCACAATACCGCCTTCGTCTTACTCACATTTCTTCCGTACCATACAACTGATTTGTTCAAAGTACTTCTTTCGATTTTACCCGAAAACCTCCCACCGGCTTTCAAAGTTTTAAACCCTTATAGACGGAGTTTGACCCTCCCACCTCGGCATCCGATTGTCCATAGCGCCTCAACGAATAAACTTTTTTTCTCTTCCCTAAATAATTATGTTTTGCAGGTCAGCAAGGCTCAGGCACATTATCAAGGGCTTCTATCATTTTGGGCTGGCGTTGTAACGGAAGCTCTGGCCAACATGCTGGACTCCGCGAGCTCTGGAAGACGAGAGGTGGAAAGAAGGAATAAGGAGGATGTTTTGCTTCAGATCCTTCCGGTATTGCATAGCGGATTTGGACTCACAAAAGCCCCCGAAATTATCATCGGTTGTTACATGCTCTGTGTTGTTATCGCAAAGAAGACCTCGCTGGAGGATACCGTGTTGGACGGACTCTTGGAGGCTGTCGCTGGAACCTGGACCCAGGAGACTCGATTGGCAGCAATGACATGTTTATCCGTCCTAGCGCAACACAAAAGTTCCCAGGAACTTCCCCGGAATGTTGTCAAGTCTATCATTTGTTTCGAAAACTCCCTCGATTTGATTTCTGAACTCTGCGCACGATCCTCGGTGACTGGATTACTTCTTGGTTTGATACATGGATGCACCAAGGATATTAGTGAGCAGAAAGATCTGGCTCCGTTGAAATTCGTGAACAACATTATACAGCGTGACATTTTAGAGCCAGAAGCTCTAATTCAGGCAATGGTTATTGTTCTTCGAGCAGCCAACGATGTACAAAAATCCGGCCGTATGGTCGAAGAAAGCCGGACAATTCTCTCGGAAATTATCCAGCACTTTACTGAGTCCGAGTCTTTGGCCCCTTTACTCCAAAATGCTATTCAGGAATCGAGCATTGATATTAACGCATTAGAGATGGGTCTTGAGACGGTTATTGAAAGTAATCAAATTCTAATGACCATCGAAGATGTCGAAATGGAAGACGTTGCGGACACCGGTGAAAAGGAAGATATGTTTGCTAAGTCCCTGGAGGGAATCCCCAAATCTACCAAACAGGCTTCCTTTCTTGAAGGACCACATTCGGCGATTTATGGTCAACTGGCGCACACATTTGTACTTGCGATTGGGAACAAGGAAAAGCTATTGCAATTTATTGATTTGCCCATTTTAAACCGGGGTTCAGCTCTTCAGGATACTCTGTATCTCTCTTTCCTCATGCGCTTTTGCTCTGGGCCATACTCGCCGGCAAGCAGAGCAGCAGCTGTCCAACTTATGGCAGACTGCCTCACTGAGAATGCCTCTAGCTGCATTGACATGCAAGCAACTCTACCATATATAATCTCAGCGCTCTGTGATCCGTCCGAGAGGGTTCGAAGAGAAGCAGCCAGCCTGCTTGCCGCTTTTGGACGCAGTTGCGCAAAAATCAAGAAGGAGGACGAGCACAAGCCCCAGCGCTGCTGGGGCTACAATACTCTCTACGGGAAGACCGAGCGATCTAAATCTCTTCGGTGGTTATCTCCACGAGACGTATATAGAGTTGCCCATCGTGCCTTATTGCCTGCATTAGAGGAATACGTACTGGAGCCGGCCCAGATAAGAAACGTGTTGGAGAGCGCAATTCGTGGGACATCTGCTTCTGGCGCCGACAATACTAAGACTCTGGATTCTGAACTAAAAAAGACAGTTCGACTAGACTTATTTATTTTCTTGTGTTCCCATACGATTATCACCCCCCTTTATGCAGTAAAACTTCGTTTGCTCAAAATTCTCAACCGTCTTGGGAAAGTTGGTTCTACTTCTCGTACAGAGGAACTTTCTCCTCTTCTTGACCAATGGAAGCTCTTAACCGATGACGACATAGTGAAAATCGCCAATACAGAACAAGTGGATGTCCATGAGTTGGAAGAGCAGGTCCTTGACACTGTTTCTGGAAAGCGCAAGAACGCAGTTGATATTCTCCTCTCATCCGTTACGTCTCAATCTAACACTTTAAGGCCGGCCTTTGCACACGCTGTTTTCAAGCGCCTCAACGAGATCTGGCCATCACTTACAGAGGACAGTGAGGTCAGTGCTGCCGATACTTTCCTCCAAATGGCTCTAGGGCTCTCTGCTGGAAATGAAGGACTATCGAATCTGTGCAGAGACCTCCTTCGGACAGTCGATCTCTCTGGCCCTATCCTTAATCACTTCCTTTACAAGATCTCTACCGCCGTAATTGACACGGAGCCGCAAGCACCTGCGGCGAAGCGACGGCGGACTAGTCAGAATAATATGGTTGCAATGACCACGAGAGATCCGAAGGAGTTAAGTCAGATTATCGGAAAGGTCACATTTATCCTGGAACTTATTGATGGGTCAAATCCGGAAAATTATCCTCAGCTCTTAGGGGGACTTTTCCAAACTCTTGCTGCCGTGCACCACTTGAAACTACAGCTTCAGGCAGAAATGAGCTACCTACTCAGTCTTGTTCTCGGTATCATGCTTGCTATTATTAACAAAGCGAAATTGTTGCCCAAACATAACCTGGATACCTCAGTCATTCGTGCGGACATGATCATCGATTGCATTCGCACATCCCAGAGCCCGCAAGTTCAAAACACGGCTTTATTGTTAGTAGCAGGGTTGGCTACAATATCCCCAGAAATTATCCTCCATAGCGTAATGCCAATATTTACGTTCATGGGTTCCAACGTTCTGAAAAAGGATGATGAATACTCAGCTCTTGTCATCGACCAGGTATGTTGTGACCTTCGTACTTAATTTCTTATTAGAAGCATCTAACAAACTACGGTTAGACAATCGATCAAGTGGTTCCTCCACTTATACAATCATTGCGTAATCAAAAGAGGGACGTAGTGTCCGGTACCTCAGAACTTCTTCTCAGCTTTACTGCTGCATTTGAGCATATTCCATCACATCGCAGGTTGAGACTTTTTGAAGCATTGATTACGAAACTGGGTGCCGGGGATTTCCTTTTCGCCGTGTTCGCAATGCTTGCAAATCGATACGGAACGGATCGGGATGTAGTAGGGTTGATGACTTCCCTTGCAGCTAACACTGGTGTAGAACTACAGCTTAACGTGAGTTACACGGCATGTTTGGCTCGTGTTGTATTATTCTTCTGCTAACTTTCGCATTGCAGTCATATACTAAGTACCTGGACCTTGTTGCGGACGCGTTACTTCCTAAGCCGAATTTGTCCCGCACGCTTCTTGGGGTTGGTGGCGAGGATGGCCGAGATCCGCCCAGAATAGCGGCTGATCTGCTGCAAGCGTTATCCCACCTTCTGCAAAGCACATCACTGAAAACTCAAATGACGAAGATTTTCACTTCTGATGATGCCGATGTGGCCCCTATCCACAACCTTTTCTCTCGCATCTTGGAGCAATTGCTCGCTCTGTCTGACACCGTTCGAGCCAATAAACCAGTTAGCAAAGCCTGCGGTGATGCCTTGGGATCCCTCCTAGGGACTTTGTCATTGATTGACTTCCTCGATACCATCGAAGTTCTACTTCGACGGCCCGATGATGACCTGCGCAGAAGAGTATTGAGACTACTAGAGAGCAGATTAAACCAGAGCCACGAGAGAGATTCCGCCTCTCAATCCAGGGTTTTGGCGTTTCTACCTACCCTTGTCGGTATACTTGAGAGCTCTCATGATGTTCTCTTGAAACATGCCTCCGTTGCTTGTATTGATAAGATAGCGGAGAAATACGGAAAGAAAGATCCAACATCCGTAGTAGAAGCAGCTAAAGTGGTTGCTGGCGAGAATTGTATTGGCCAACCCGATGACCGCATCCGTGTGATTGGAATCTTATATCTTGCTTCTGTGACGGAAGTTGTTGGCGAAGCGATTATTCCAGTCCTCCCTGCGGTCTTTTCACGAGCCTTTGGGCTCCTAAAGGGTTGCCTGGAGTCCAACAAGAAAAATGCAGAATTGCATGACGCAATTTACTCCCTTATCAGTGCCCTTATTACGCATGTTCCGTGGATGATATCCGATGACCATCTCAACAATATCCTTTGCCTATCTTTCAAATCAGCAGCTGCAAATCTTCCCGAAGACTCCAACGAGAACCGCCACGAAGCATTGAACCTTCTTGCAAGGCGTCTTGATGTTAGCGAACTCTTTAAAGCCGTCGAATCCAATTGGTCGTTTGCTGTGTCCGAGGGACCTCAGGTAAGCTGATTTTTCCAATTCCTCCTACGTTTTTGGAATTAATTTACTCATCATGTTGCAGGCTATCGGTGAGGTACTGGAGGTTACAAGCCTCGCTATTGAAAAGAACCCAAAATCGTCAACCGTCA